ACCCCCCAACCCCCCAACCCCCCAACCCCCAACCGCGCTTCACACGCACAACGCAACCGATAAATATTTCTACCGTGCCCTAAACCTGCGCGTGCCTGGCAAAGTTTCCAGAGTTGTTTTGATGTTGGCTGTTGGAACAAATTACCAACACCTACCCTGCATTATGGCTGCTGCTGTTGGTACTTATGCAAGAGCAATATTGGTATTCCTGATTTGTGTTCTGTGCTTTGCTGAAGTTGCTTTTGATGCCAGTTGTGAGCAGCAAGGGTGCCACCAATTAGCAAAAGAAGTCATGCAGCCCTGGGAGAAAGGATGCTCAGCAGGTTTCAGGATCTGTGCCATTATCATGCTGTGCCGGAGCTCTATCACGATCTCTTGCCCCTTGAACGAAACCAGCTCTGGATTAGCCAGGTGAACCAAATCGTAGCTTACGTCTGCCATGTCTGAAGAAGTACCCGCAGGGCCTGCTCCGATGAAAAGCAGGGCATGGAGCTGTGGGACCTTGCAAGACAGCAAGGAGCAGCTTGAGAGGCAACAGGTGAAGATCGAGCCCAAGCCAAGCCATGAGGATCTCGAAGCACAGCTCGAGGAGGGGTTCTATATCCGTTAGACCCACCAAGGTTCCGTAGGGAAACACGCAAGTAAGCCACGAGTAAGCCGGAATTCGCAAATGGTTTTTAACTCTATAGTAGACAGTGTATTCTACATACACATATGGGGGTTTCCGAAAATGGGGGGGGGGGGTGTACTGCACTCGGTTGGGGGTTCCTATAATAAAGTAGTATTCGGGTGTATGTTAGGGGTGTACCCTTATTTTCGGAAATGCCCATACGTGAGTATGTATATATCTTTATATATATATATATACATACACACACACACATTTGCATACAGATTCATATTTACATATATATATATACAGATATATATATATATATATACAGATATAGATTAATATCATATATAAATATACATATATATATATATATATATATATATTTATATTTATATTTACATCACATATATATATATATATGTGTGTGTACACAGGTATAATGTGTTTACACAAGTATGTTAATCATTGTCGACCAGACCACAGGCTTTGAAAGCAAGACGTGCTGCGCTGGCTGCAAAGCGTGTTCCTACTCAACAGAGCCAATCCACTCCAGCGTGCAATCTGAAGATGATGCGTGGGGAGCACACGGGCCAAACCCCCGAAGAGAAGCCTGATGAGCAAGCGATGCCCACACCCAAGAAGACCCCCAAGAAGGCGACGTGCTGCTACAAGTTCACCATCAGTATATATAAACCCTGTAAACCCTACCCTGAACCCTATAACCCTAAACCCTAAACGACACCACACCCTGGACCAGGCATTGTTCAACAGCCCCGAAGTGGACGAGGCACGCCCAGTGACTGATTTCCGCGCCGGTTCCGGAGAGTGCCCAGAGCACCCAGAGCTGGAGCGCCTCAGGGCAGAGAATGCGCGACTGAAGGATCAGTTGCAGCGCGTGTCCGCAGACTTACAGGATGCCCGGAGTGCTGTCGTTCGGGGTGGTGCAGAGAAGAAGGGGTTGGATGAGGAGGATCTTGAGGACGCTTTGGAGGCTGATGTGTCAGGCGAGGCCTTACGCAAGCGCCTGTGGCGGCTTTGCAAGGCCGACTCTCGGGGGCGACGCTTCTACATTAACTAAACTGGCCAACCCAAAAAGTCCCGAAGCCCGAAACCTGACTCTGTGCACTTGGCCAGCTGGCGGAGCTGAGGCGATTGAAGGTGCCCCAGCACATCCATGACCTTTGGAAGAAGGGGGGTGCGGACAGGGCGAAGCTGGGTGAGTTGCTTGTTCAAGCAAATCTAAAGAAGGACTGCTTGGGCTGCACAGTTTCCAAGTCCCCAGATCTTCCAAAACCCCTTCGCTAAGTATCATACTTGTGAACTAGGGCGTTGTCCTTCATTAAGGGTTTGTAAGGGTTTATAGGGTCTAGGGTTTATAGGGTTTAATTAGGGTTCAATAGGGTTTAGGGTTGAAAGGGATGGGGTTTAGGGTATATAGGGTTTAGGGTTTGGGTCTCCAAAGCCTGGTTGAGTCAACCGCCTGCCCAAACCACCTGAAGGCGCCCCACACCTGGTAATGCACAGCCTTCCTCGGTGTTATCGTGCTAGTGTACACTGTTGGTTTGCAAACTATACCCCAAAAAGAGGCAAACAAGCTGTCAGCGACATTCCAAACACATCCCGAATCTTCGACGAAGTCCCAAAAACACTTCGTGAAGCCCCTTCCTTCCCTCAAACAAAACCGAATAACCCAATTATGACTTACAAACCCCCTACTCTGAGTATTATAGGATGACTTAGAACTCGGGTTATATGTACCCGCGTGACAGGACGACTTCGTGCGCCTCGTCGAGATTCGCAAGCAGGAGGACGAGGCTGTGAGCCTCTTGCAGAAAGGTCGCTGGGCGTCCGAGGATGTGATGCGGGAGGAGATGCGTTTGAAGGAGACCCTTTGCTTGTTAACTTTCGGTTCCATGAGTCCTTTGCTCCAAAACATAAACTTTTTCGTGTCCCAAAACCGAATTCATACTGAGGAAGCGCATCAAAGCCATCAAGGAGTACTGTTCCCAGAGAGCTGGGTACACAAAGTAGCCTGGCCTGTCGTTTCCTGAACAATCAATACGGAACCCATTAGCCTGAAATCTCACCCAACTACACACGTGCACCTAGGAAAGACAAGTACGAGGAAGGGGTGCTTGTTTACTGGGTCGAAGCTGAAGTGGAGGGGGAGTGGAGCAAGAAAACCGGGACATCCAAAGAAGAGCTGCTCCACTACGAGACCGACATGCCAGCAGAGGATGTTGCTGGCTTTGCTTCAGCCGGCCTCTCTTTTGATGGGCCATCTATGCTAGGACATGCTAGAGAGAGTGTCACCGCAATCGCGCCCGTTTAGGTCCCATATAACGGTTTAGGGTTTAGGGTTATATAGGGCTTAGGGTTAATGCAGGACCGAACGAAGACAGCAGCCGTTCTGTTGCACCCGCAAGTAGCGCAGCTGCTGTGCCACTCCCTCAAATGCAGACTGGCGAGATGCCCTCCCAGTACATTCTAAAGTACCTTGATGGCATCCAGAAACGCAGCGCCAAGATGGCGGAGACTTGACTTCAAGGGTTGTCGCATCCTAAACCCTGTAAACCCTAAACCTTACACACCCTAAACCCTAAACCCTATAAACCCTAAACCCTATAAACCCTAAACCCTAAAACCCTAAACCCTAAACCTTATAAACCCTAAACCCTATCTGTGTGACTTTGAAAACCTTGCAATGCCTAAGTAAGGAGCTGAAGAGGAAGTACGAGGAAGTGCCTGCTGAGCACAAGACCAATGTGCATACCTCGCCCCCTAGCCATTGAATATGTTTCTTCGTAGAATCCGTCGCTGTAATTCTATAAGTCAGACAAGCCTGAGTCTCAGGCTGATCACGAAGCTCGGCACGGTGATCGATGGCCTGGAAGTGAAATCCAGGGACATCACCGAAATCTATTCTTCGGGTGCGGTTGAAGGATACACTCCGGGGCTGCTTGGCGCGACGACAGTCCCCAACATATGTACCCAGCTTGTCCTACAAAAGCATATAGAGTTTTTTCGTTCGTTATCCCACCTAGGAACGAGACCGATCTCAGAGGATTGTACAAGGAATCCCAGAAGCTGACAGACCCTGAGTTGCCACACACAGCGCTGCTTCACTTGGCTTGCTTCTGTAACCCGAATATTTTTGGTGTCGTGACTGTGCTAGGTGCCAGGAGACTGTGAATCTGGAAGCTCGAGCGCGGAACATCCCCATCCCCAAAGCCAAAGCAAAGTCACTCGCTGGGAAGCCCAAAGCGAAGGCGAAGCCGAAGGCGAGAGTTCAGGACGCGTCCCCCGAACCCAAGCCTAAGCCCAAGAAGAGATCCCACAAGTGATTAGACAGCCGTCGCAGAGATGGCAGACTTCCAGAGATTTTGATGCTTTGGCAGCATGGCCAAATTTTGAAAGTTGCATCTTCCCTAAATAAAATAGACGCTGCGTATACTCTGGCCTGCTGCGCTCCATACTTTCGTATGGCTTTCTATGACTGTAGGCAGATGCAGAAGCTGCTCTGGAATTGTTTGTAAAATCACAAAGCCCGCTCTTGACTCCTGATCTCATCCCGGCGGGCTGTTCGCAGAAAACCTGTTTGCTGCCTGTTGCCTGGAAGGAATCTTTTTGCGCTTGCTCATGTTTCGCAACACAAGCCTTGCAAGCCAGGCCCTGAGCCTCCTGGACCAATGCTGAAAACTTTGGCTCTTGCTCTGGCCGATGGAGTGGGGCACTAAGTGGGGGCCTTGAAGGACATCGGCCGTGGATCTCAAATCTCGTTGTTTTCTGTATACGTAGTATAGTTGTTTCCCTTTTTACTAAAGAACCCGAACCCTATATATATATATATATATATTTGTATATTTGTTTCCCTCATATTTGTTTCCCTCATTACCCCTAGCCCAGATCGCCTGTACAGTGAAACGCTTTGCTCTTTCATACAGTACAGGCAGATAGGAGTGAGCTACCTGTTTGCGCGTTCCTGAATCCTCCCAAAAGCTAGTGGCCAACCCTAAAACGCTCCTTCCGAAATCTCGCGACTTCACTGCAAGCCCGCTTTTGAAGTATAACCCTTTCACCATCAGCCCACTTCAGGCCCCGGGCTCGCGCATCAAAAGGCTGGCGAAAAGCGCCTTGGAGGAAAGGGGGCCAGAGGGTGTAACGTCAGGCCTACGCTTGGCTGCGAACGGGGATTTGCAGCATGCGGAGCGTGACTTGTTAAGTTTGTTTCGTAGTCTAGGAATGTCAATGGAGGTTCGCATCAGCCAGTATAGGTTTGGCCTGACGGTTCTTCCTCACATGAAAGTGCGGGACTGGTGGAGCTACTTGTTGAAGAAGCGATCACCACTAGTGCTCGGTGGTTTTGAGCGACACCAGCCCGAAGCTGAGTTGGCCATGGAATGCTTCTGGCAAAATCTTCGGGGCTGCATGCCGGATCATTCCTTGTACAGCACCCACAATGACAGGCTGGAAGACTGCGTGCCATTCTTATTGTTCCTGGATGAGGGAACTGGGCTTCGGAAGTCGGGGGTCTTGGTTGTCAGCATGCAGCCAATTGTGGGTAAGGGCACTGCTAGCAAGTTCTTGTCGGAAATGCACAATTCTGCCCGGGAGCTAGATCGTGCAGGCCTGAAACAGCTTATGTCGGAGTGCCAAGAACACAATGCAGCTGGAAGAACGTATGACTCCAGATTCCTGTACACTGTCCTACCCAAAAAAACTTACCACAAAACAGGCAACCTGACTAAGCTCCTAGACAAGCTGGCCGATGAATGCATCGACGTGATGAGGAATGGGTTGCAGGTTGGGTCCAAGGTGTACTATCCTGTGTGTCTAGGGGTCAAAGGAGATGCGCCGATGCTCATGCGTGTGGGCAACATGACCCGGGGCTTTACACACATGGGTGCGGGGCGTGGTTGCTGTTTCGAATGCCAGGCCGGAGAGCCGGGGTTTCACTTCGAGGACACGACCCTCTCCCCAGACTGGGAGTCCTCCGTGCACACTGTAAGGCCCTACACTGACCCGAGTCCTTTACTTCGAATTCCAGCCTGGCGTGTGCCGGAGCAGTTCTTCAGAAGGGATCCGTTTCACACCTTCAAGCAGTCTATCGGTTGCTCATTTCTTTCGTCCAGCATCGTTCTGTTGACGTGTGACTTTGGCTATTTTCACGTGCCCGGTAGTAGTGATGCTGTTGCAGAGCTGCTTGGTCGTGCGTATGCTGATTTTGCTCATTGGACAAAGAAAGAGTGGCATGGAAAGACCATGCAGTCTTTGAAAATGTTCACGAAGGATTTGTTCCACTGGAGCCGCAAAGATGCTTTTCCAGCAGGCCGATTCAAAGGAGGGGATTGTATGCTGATGCTCCGATGGCTGCAGCATCTGTTGACGCACGGCTTTGTTTCGCAGTCCTCCGATCCTCCGTGTCGACAGGGTCCCAGTCCAGTGCTCACTCCAATGGAGATCTGGCACAAGCCCTTTCTTGAAAGCATGTTGGAGGCCTGCGAGGCCGGGTTGCGATTTTTCCACCTGATGCATCGCAACGGGATCTGGCACAATCGAGAGCTCACTCATGAGATGGGGTTGTGCGCTGCCAAGTTCACTTCGTCATTCTCACGTTTGGCCCAGCTATGTCATGGGCGCCAGCTGCCCCGTTTCCACCTCGTGCCATCGCTCCATGCGATGCATCATTTCTTTCTGGATTCCAAGCATTTCCTAGAGCGTCGGCCACGCCAGACATACTGTCTTTCTGCTGCTGTATCAGGGTGCGAAGCAGACGAAGACTTCGTAGGAAAAGTGGCGAGGTTGACAAGGAAAGTGCATGCTCGCTCGACAGCCCAAAGGACGTTGGAGCGTTATTGTGTGAAGATGTGGTGTGAAACACAAAACTTGAGATGAACGTGCAATCCTTGAACTGGACTTGCCTGTTTAACCCCTTCAACCCCTAATAAACTATATAATGCGAAAAGATGGTGACCCTCTCAAAGTGCTGAGCACCACGCGGGACAGAGTCGCAGAAGCCGACGACCAGGTCGAGCCACGTGGCGGGAAGGAAAGGTTGCACAAGGGGTGGGTTTCGAAGGGCAGGCTGAACATTGTTCTGTGGATGGCATCTATGTTCCGGGTTATCGTCTTACAGTTGGTGCAACGAGGCGTTTTTTTGAGATACATGCGTTTTTGGCTAAGCAATGCGTTTTGTGGGGTACAAGGACATGAAGGCGAAAAAGGGAAGGCACCCGGAGGTATAGGTAGGGTTTAGGGTGTAGGGTTTAGGGTTTAGGGTTTAGGGTTTAGGGCTTAGGGTTTAGGGTTGAGGGTCCAGGAAAGTGCCTGAAACACCTGCCGTGAGTCTCCGACTCAAGTCTTTGACTGTGAGTGGTCTCAACTTCGGCACGGCACGGTTCTAGGGTTTAGGGTTTAGGGTTGACTGCGACCGTTTCTGTGACAGAGGCACTACCGCAGAAGCTTTCTTCTCCTCCAATAGCCGAGGAACTTGACAAGCTTAAACATTGCCATTCCTACTCAACAAGGAAAACCCCAAAAAAACAAGTTTTTCCCTGGCTATGTGGTGACGAAGAATTGGTGAAGCTTGCCCTATGCTGCTTCGCCTGCATGTCCGCTCCAGCCAATAGCGCGAAACCCTAAACCCTAAACCCTAAACCCTAAACCCTAAACCCTAAACCCTAAACCCTAAACCCTAAACCCTAAACCCTAAACCCTAAACCCTAAACTGCATGTCTGTCCTGCCTGCAGGTGGTTCTGAGCTAAGGGGTGTACGGGAAGGGAAGTGTAAGGGGCACCAAGAAAGCGGAAACACAAACAAATTAAATCAAACTACGTAGCCTAAACACCCTAAACTCTGACCCCCAATCCTAAACCAGAAGCCCCGGGTTTCAACAAACCCTAACCCCTCAACCCTGAACTCACAGCACCCCCAACCCTCAGCCTTCAGCCCCCTTGACCCTCAACCCTGGACCCTCAAACTGGCTGGTTCTTCACAGGGAATGAGGGAATGAGGTACCCTATATGCCCCCTCATTCCCTGCTAAGAACCAGTGGAAAAGCCCTCTACCCTAAACCCTAAACCCTAAACCCTAAACCCTAAGCCTAAACCCTAAACCCTAAACCCTAAACCCTAAACCCTAAACCCTAAACCCTAAACCCTAAACCCTAAACCCTAAACCCTAAACCCTAAACCCTAAACCCTGCATCTGAGTCTGCGTCTGGAGGATGGAGTAGTTCAGCGCCGCGCTGACGGAGAGGAGCTCGCAGGCGTCCACGGAGGGGCTGGGGAT